TTCTTAGTTCAGTGTCTCCGCTCTGGTAAGCTTATGCTCTCTCCAACTCTCAAGATGCATTAAAGCTTGTCTGCAGAAGGATCCGAGTGTCCTGCGTGTATTTCTTGGCGGCCGAGAAAATACAGCGTGCGCGGGACATTTGATGGTAGCATAATATCCCACTATGGGGGATTACTGTAATTTACTAACTGTTGCATACACATGCAATTTCCATATTCTAGCATTTTATACAAAGCCACCTTTGTGCTTTAAGGAGTGGTGTGCTACAATATAAAGTCAATGGGCTTTCCATTAGAAGTTCTGAGTCATAAGCCTAGTTTTGCAAATTGACATATAATGACATTACAATATTATTATTATTATTATTATTATTATTATTATATTTCTGTATCTTTCATTTCTGATTATTTCCTTAGAGATATCTGCACTTGAGATTTATTAAATGGAGTTGATACTTACTGACTTTTTTTTTTTACTACCAAGTTTATACCAAAGTCTACTCCCATCTGCAATGATTAAGAGGGGTCACTGTAGTTCCAACTCTTCTACGTTTGTAAAAGCAAAGCACAGGATAACATGTTATGACAGAGAGGAAGTTTTGCCAGTCTGATTCACTGATTTTGTTGTCCAGAATTTAAAGTGATTCTGAACACATGGTCCCCAGACCAGTAACATCAAAATCACCTGGGATCTTCTTAGAACAGATTCATCAAGTTTTTCTTAGACTTACTGAATCTGAAACTCAGAATGAGAGCCAGGATCTGAGTGTTTGTGTTTATGTGTGTATGTGCTTGTGTGGGTAGATGCATGCATGTGTGTGGGGGGGTGCTGATTCAGTTAGGATGACTTAGCCAGAATCTTGCTTGACTCGGCCTTCCCAATTCTGCTATTACTAGCACTTGTCACCAAACTCAGATGTCATTGCGGTGCTGGGGATGAAGCTCAGGTCCTTATTCTTTGCTAACTGAGCCATCTTTCCAGGCACAGGATCTGAGTTTTAAGAAGCCTTCTAGATCACTTTCAAGTTCAAGAAGAACAGGTTGAAAGCACTGAAGAGTCCTTGCCAAGCCCTCAGAAGTGTTTGCCACTTGCCTTTAAATACCTAAATTCCATTTTCTGGGCCCTGTCCATTTATAAGAGGTGGTATGATGTGACATGAGTTGTCATTGAGAAGTACCACATTGCTGTCCTGGGAGATTCCCTAGTGGGTGTGACCAAACACATGTGATAATGACTCCAAGGCTGTGGTCTCTTATGGTCAGGGGGGAAATGTCTCTCTATCATTTAGCCCAGATGTGACACTGGAAGGGAATTTTAAGCTACGTTACACCAGATGGTTCATGGTTATGCAAGAATGCAGAACATAACATGTTTTCCTCGGTGGATAAAAACACGCTGTAAGTTTTCTTTAGCACTGTGGCTAGAGCTTACAAAATGGGGTAGTCTGACCACCCTTCAGGCAGTTATCACCCCTCCCTTCTCCCCAGGGCAAAGGACAATCAAGCCAAAGAGAACGAAGAACACAATGCTCTCAAGCCCAGGGCTGCAACATCTGGGGTGTATAAAACAGAGATGACATTGTAGAATATGAGAGCACATGCTGCCACTTCTACTTCAGACTGTTTCATTCAGAATGGCTCCAGGAGGCATGACCCCAGCGCGCGTCTCAAAATAATGCAGATGGTAGCTGCAGTAGAGAAATTAGAGAGGAAAAAAGGGAGAAAATTATTTCCAGTTCTTTTCAAAGAGCACATCAGACATGATCGTCTCCTTCATCTCAATTTAATGATGCCCCACTTCTGAGATCTTCCACACCTTTGTCTCATGGCTTCTTCAGAGGACTGCTCAATGGTGCCATTGGAAAGGTGATAATTGGATGTTGGCTAACATGACTGTAAATCTATGCTGTGCCAATTCCAACCACACAATCGTTAGCAAGCGGAGTGGGGTCATCTGAATGGATTGAGAAGTGCCTAGATAGTGGTTCTCAACCTATGGGTCTCGACCTCTTTGTTGGTTTAATAACCTATTCACAGGGGAATATCAGATATTTTACATTAGGATTTGTAATGGTAGCAAAATTCCAGTTATGAAATAGTGATGAAAATAATGTTATGGTTGGGAGGGCTACCACAACATGAGGAACTGTATTAAAGGGACACAGCATTAGGAAAGTTGAGAACCACTGGCCTAGATTAATAAAGTAGACATCAGAGTGTATCTGTGAGGACATTTCCAGAAAGAATTAAACAAGGGAAAATGTGTCCTGAATGAGGGTGGCACCATCCAGTAGTCTAGAGTCCCAAAGAGAATGGAGGAGAGGGGGTAGAAAGAGTGACAGAAAGAGGAGTGGGAGGAGGAGAGGGAGGAGACCCACTAGTGTGTGCATTCTCATTCTCTCACTCTCGGAGCGCTCACTTTCACTCAGATCCCTAGCTGCTGAGGTTGGCAGTTCATCTCTGCCTCACCCTCCTGCCATGATGAACTGGAGCCTTGAAAACTACAGCTCAAGTTAACCTTTCCTTTCTTATATTGTGCTGTTTAGCTGCTTTGTCATAGACAAAAACTAACACTACGTGGCACTCAGATTTGTTGAGCGTCAGTTTCCTAACATCTCACTGGGATGGCTGCAGGGACTAGAGGAGGCCACATTTAATGTCATTCCTGTCTCCTTCCTTTCAGTACTGCAGTGAATCTCAGTCCCCTACCTAATTGTGGGGAGGGGGTCAGGGGGCACAGAAAGATCCAATAAATCCCATCATGCTTTGGGAAATTCCTCCACAGTGAGGAATTTAGCACTAGTCTAAACGTTCTTGTCTTTGATACCTCATACTCCGCACAGCCTTGCTAATGGAAAGCTGAAAAACGGATTCCCTTCACAAAGTCTTGCCTGTGTGACTCAGTCCATATCCTAGCTAAACCTTCCTCTGGAGGCAGGAGAAAGAAGGTAGAGAGTAAACTCTGAGAAGGAATAAAAACTTCACTTGGCCCTTCAAAGTTCCTGCCTAGATCGGTCACCAGCAGACTTCTTCAGAACAAAGCACCCACTACTTAAACCTATCACCAGATCCCCAGGTTTCCTTCAGGTTGGATCTGACACTAAGTTGACCTGGAGTTCAGAACAACTCCAGTGCCCTTCTCAACTTAAACATCTCATCTTTTCAGAGACCGATCATCCCACGAGCCTGAGGCTAATGAGGAAGCACTTACTCTTTTGAGTCTGTCGGGGTTTTTCAGGACTTTCCACCCACTCTTCTCACCTGGTAATGTCATAAATAATCTGTTCTGCTAGTCTTTAACCATCAACCTAACACAACCTAGAAATAATTTCAGTTGAGGAATTTCCTAGAGCAAATTGGCCAGTGGACAAGTCTGTGGGGGAGTGTCTCAATTATCAATATATGTGGGACAATCAGGCCACAGTGGGAGGCACCATTCCTTAGGCAGTTAGTCCTGGACTATTTAAGAAAGTTATTTGAACATAAGCCTGCCTGTCAGTGGGAAAGAAATATCTCCCATGAGTCCTTCTGTACTTCTTTGGCTGTGAAGTTAGTTTCTTGGTTAGAGGCAATGCTGTGTGGAATAGCAAGCATGCCTGCCTTCAGTTTCTTTCCTTGAGTTTCTGCCTTGCCTTCCCTCAATGTAACCTGGATGGAATGTAACCTGGTAGTATGAACTTCAATGAACTGAATTGCTTTTGGTCAGGGTGTTTGTTACAGTATCCGAAATGAAACTAGAATAGCATCCAAGCTCCAAAGCACTGCCCAAGGATCTGTGGCCATTCCCTTTTCTAGTGCTCAAGTTTAACTAATCATCACTTGGTGATTTCCTTTATTGGCCCCACCCTCTATGCTGGACAACAGCCTCTTCACTGAGCATCTCTGACACTTTGTTGGGCACAGTTGTGTCCACAGGCACCACAGCTAATAAGGAGCCCAGAAGGTGCCAAAGCTGTGTGACAATGGTCTGTGTATTAGCTGAGAATGCTCCTACATGTGTAAGCTCAACTGCTAGAATTCCAAAGTCGTATTCTTTCTGTTCAGTAAATTTTAAGAGTTTTAGAGGAACAGCACTTTCCAATTTGATGTAGTCTCCTTGATTTCTAATGGGAATCAGAACTATAACCACTGGTTGTAAACAAGGGCTAGGTTTGGGCCCTCCGGCATTCAAGTACGAGTCAGACACTGATCTGAGCCCCAAATCATTCATCCTTTCTGACAATGGAGACTTTGTTAGTGAGTCAGGCTTGTGGTGCCTGGCTGCCCCAGCCCTGGGACGAGTATTCAGTGTCTCCTGTGGTGTCTTCAGAATCTGCTTAGCAGTTTCCAGAAGGTGCCAGATCCATGCAGACCTTACAGAGGCCACAATTTGAACTCCTCCTGGGACTTTAATTTTTGGGTTGTTTCTTCCACACCAGAATACTTAAAGAAGGGATGGGGATGGGATTCTTCTTTTAATTTAATTATATTTACATAATAAGGTGTGTGTGTGTGTGTGTGTGTGTGTGTGTGTGTGTGTGTGCAAACATGCTACAGCAGGTGTGTAGAAGTTTGGAGGATCATGGGAATCAGTTCTTTCTGTCTACAGTATAAGTCCCAGGGATCTAGCTCACGTCTTCAGGCTTAGAGGCAAATCCCTTTATCTACTGAGACATCTCACCAGCCCAGAGATAGGATTCTATTTGCTTTTGTAATTTCCAAAGGTGACATAATACACCTGAGAAATCCATTCTTGAATTTCCCAGTGTCAATAAACTCTAGAGAGACCCTGGGCTTGAATTCATTAGGTTACTTGCATGTTGAAGTCTGGAGAGCCAATAGCCAAACCCAGATCTGTAGAACAATTTGGCAAGAAAGGTCTAGCACGGAGGCTCTTAACATGTCTGTATGTAGAATCACTTGGGGAACTTTGATAGCCAGGCAAGATGCCTGAAGGAATTTAATTGAACAGAGTATGCAAAACATTGTTAAACTTCCCTGGTGATTCTAATGTCCAGTTAAAGCCAAAAATCCTTGACCTAGCGGAGTCCACATCCTGTTCAAGGCAGCACATTGGCTGCTATGTGTTTTCCTGGGGGTTGGAGGGTCAGAGATGGAATCTCCTTTCTGACCATAATGGGCAATTGTTCACCCTGCACCCTGTAGTATTCATTTACTTCTAACACATCACACCCTCCACTGGCTTGGTCAACCAGTCATTAGCAAGGCAACAACTTCAGGCAAAATTTGAATGCCTGCTCTGACATATGTGCTAAAACAGTATAGCTATGTGCTGTACCAGTTGCTTTTCTCCGTGCTGGGACAAAATACCCAACATCGTGACTTGATGGGAAGGAACGTATTTTGGCTCATGGTTGGAAGGGATGTAGTCTTTCATGGTGACAAGGCAAGGTGGCATGCATGGGTCAAAGCCAGGACAGCCATCAACAAGGAGGTAAAGACCCATAGGGGCTTCGTATGACCCTTGATGCCCCTCACCTCCAGAAACTCACTTCCTGCAGCTGGGATCCACCTCTAAAAGATCCTTCAACCTCCCTAAACAGTGTCACCATGTGGGTATAAAGTGTTCAAACACCTGATCCTGTGGAGGACATTCTATATGCAAACCAGAACATATATACACCAAGGAAACTCCTGCTCTAGTAGCAATGTGGTATTTTTGTTTTCGCATTTATTTAATGGAGGAGGTTACACATAGTGACAGGGAGGTCAGTGGTCAAGTCTCTCCTTTCCACCTTGTGGGTTCTGGGGATCAAATCTGGTCTCATCAGCCTTGGCAGCAAGCATCCTTACCCACCAAGCCATCTCAATGGCCCCAATGTGCTATTTTTTTAAATGGTGGGACCCAAACTTGGGATAATGTCACTCTTTTTGAAGGATACTACGCACTTAAGAGAGTAGGTGACAGTCACCAAGGGCCTTCCAGAAGCCACAGCCATGTCTGCCATTTGCAACAGAGACTGGGATCCTATTTACTACATTGACAGTGCACTTCTTATGAAGGAGTTAGATGGAGAATTAAAGAATCTGCTCCCCCACGATAACATAACTGCCTGCCCTAGCAAGAGAACCATATTATTCCTTTTGTAATACTGCATCATTCTTATCATATAATTTTCATACTTTGGGCATGTGATAAATAGTTAGATTGTTAAATTTCTTAAATTCAGATTCTAGAAATTGGAGGACTGATATCCAATTTATTGAGCAACTATTATATTTTGGGGTCCAAACCAGGTACTTCCCTGCTATATCACTCAAAGTTAGAGCTAATATTATGTCTTAGTATTAGAATTAATACTAAATGATGATTAAGATATAATCTAATAGGGCTGGAGAGATGGCTCAGCGGTTAAGAGCACTGTCTGCTCTTCCAGAGGTCCTGAGTTCAATTCCCAGCATCCACATGATGGCTCACAACCATCTGTAATGAGATCTAGTGCCCTCTTCTGGCCTGCAATGATACATGCAGGCAGAACCTGTATTCACAAAAAAAAAAAAAAAAAATTCAAGGCTAGGGCTAGAGAGATGGCTCAGTGGTTAAGAGCACTGACTGTTCTTCCAGAGGTCCTGAGTTCAATTCCCAGCAACCACGTGGTGGCTCACAACCACCTTGAATAAGATCTGGTGCCCTCTGCTGGCATGCAGGCAGAAGACTGTATACATAATAAATAATAAAATTCTTTTAAAAAGATATAATCTAATATAAGAACATTACCTCAAAATACAGTGGATTAAGTAGGACATGAATTTCATCTATTCTTTCCCAAATTGTAGTTCAAATTATGATACACAAACAAGTCCAGAACTTCCTTTTAGCTCAAGAGGTTTCCATCTCTGAGCCTGACATGGCTGCTGTAGCCAATTCTAGCCAATGGAAATGGTTAGGAAAGCATATCTGAATTTCCTAGTTCTTATTGAAGTTGGGAATAAACTACAGGAAGATGGTAAGTATTAGCTCACAGAAATTCTTCATTTTGCCAGTGGAGTTTGGGTTAAGTTGGCTCTGAAAGGATGAACTTGTGGAAATTAAGGATTCTCCAGACACAGTATGAATGATTAGTGGAGTTTTATTGGTGGCAGCTACTGTTCGGCATTCCTGCTCTTAGCACACATCCCTGCCTCCTCAATGTTCTCTGCGACTTCAGGCTCCGCCTACCCAGCCCCAATCCTTTCCCTTTAACCGGTCACGTCCACTCCTGTAACCACACTCAAAAAGCGTGGCCACTGTTACAGGTGCCCAGTCGAATATATCATTGCAAAAGGCTACCTCAACTATAAGAGTTTGGTGTCTAAGCTAAAGACAGAGCAAAAGCAGAACCATAACTTCTTAATTTACTATGGAGGGAGATGCAGATGAAACAGTAAGAATGTCTGTCCCATTTGGGGTAAGATTTTTCCAGATAAAGCTATATTCAGAAAGCCACACCCACTACCACATACTCAGAGTCTTCATGGTCTGGGGTATGAACTAGAAATTTTCCACAAATGGGCTAACTTTAATCTGTGTGCCCAACTTCGATCATTCAGGCCATTTTACAGGCAAGAAAACTAATTATCAAAAAGATGAAGGAGCTAAGAATCAATGGCTAGGGTCTGAGTCCAAACCTGCATGATACTCCAGTGAACGCTTTTCCTTAATACACTGCTGCTCATAAGTGAGCTTTCAAAGCAAGCTTCAGGGGCCCGGCAGGTGGCTCTGTTGATAAAGTGCTTGTTGCACAGGCATTAGGACCTGTATTCAGTCCTCCAGTATGCTGCAAGCCCAACCTCAGAGTCCTGTGCTTGTAATCCCAATATTGTAGAGGGAGAGATACATGGGATCCCTGGGGCTTCTAGCCAGCCAACCTAGTTCTATTGGCAAGCCCTAGGTCTAAAAGAGATCCTTCCTCAAAACAAACTAACAAACAACAAACAAATATTAAACAAGATGGACAGCTCCTGAGGAACAACACCCAAGGTGACCTAGAGTGCCTACACACACGTGTACCTATGAGCATGCATACATGCACACAAATGATAATAACACCACATTTCAAGGCATTCTTGAAAATGCCTTTTCTGGCCATCTGTTATGGTACTAACCGGAGTTGCTGCATCCTTATTATTACAGTCTGCCTTTCCAGACTGTCTCTATCTCCTGGCATTCATTCGTCATACCTCAGTCATTTTGCAAAACAGAGTGTGGTCCATGGTCTGTTACCTGACTCATGACTAAACAAATGATAAATCAAGTCCATAAAAACACCCCCAGACCTCTGAGTGAGTTCTCTTTAACACCTAGCCATCCCAGTTTTGCGACATTCATGTCTTATTCCTTGGTCCTTGGTTTGCAACTCTCCTGCCAGACACCAGGAAAATATTTCTAACTGACTGAACTTCCATGGACTTGGAAGGTCTTTGCAGGGCTGAGTTTTGGCTCAACCTAACCTCCATCTATCATGGTGCCTCACTTGCCTATTCTGTGTCATCCTCATGAGCTAATGAAAAAGCTGTTTCCCAGCTCCAGGCCTGATGGGAGTTCTCTTCCCTTACTCCAGGGCTTCTATTAAAAAAGATCTAACATGAGGGTAATGGTGTCAAGGGCATGCGGGGATGTGCACAGGCCTTTAGTCTCTGCTCTTGAGAGGCAGGGGCAGGCAAATCTCTGAGTTCAGTCTGAGGCTAGCCTGGATTACTTAGCAAGTTCCAAGCCAACCAGGCCTACACAGTGAGGCCCCTTCTCAATAAGATAAGATAAAACAAAATAGATCTGACAATGAAACTCAAATTTAGTTAAAACCTCAAAAGAGAGGCCATAGATTGAGAGGGTTTAGCTCAAAGAGCAATTGTGCAGGAGACTCTGTTTTCCATTCCTAGCCTTGATGAGGGAAGCCACTTCCTTTCAGGGTCATAAGGTGTCTCCTGGCCTCAGCCAGGAAACCAGGGCACTATGCTTAGAGTCCTTCTACCCAGACACTACCTTCCCAAAGACCAAGCTTCCTGGGTGTCTCCTGCCTTGAGGTCCTACAGCAAAACAAACAAACATGTGAGACAACAGGTCTGTTCTTTGGTGCCCTGATGTGGCTAATGTGACCAACTATGTCAAAGGCCTTAGACGGAGAGCTTCGTGGAGACAAACTCAAATCTTACCATGTCCCTTGTTTCTGGACATTAAGGCTGCTGTGTCAGACTCACCTTAAGGCTGTTACAAAGTGTGGCGGGACTTTAGAGCACACCAGCATTTAAATAGTCCTTTTATTCACCCAATAAGTATCTGAGTGCTGTCTCAACACTATCTCAACACAACAGTGGATTTGAAACTTAGGATGCTTTAGCATCTTTGAGGGCTCCTTAAAACGCAGACCCTGATTCAGGCTGTTTGCTCTGGGGCCTGAGAATTTGCTGTTAGATCAGCTGCCAGGTGTGTCTGGTGCTGTTAAGGGGACAGGACACACAGGAGCCAAGCTCTTAACCTCCTAGGACACACCCTAGCATTAAGGTGGCTATGCCAGAGAAACTAACGGTAGTGATAGTGTTTTCTCTCACCTCGGCGGGTCTCTCCGAGAGACAAGCAGACAAGCCTGGGAGCTGTTGACTTGTGCCTGTCTCCACTAGTCCAGCCCAAAGCCAGAAACTAGCTGAGTGGTGTCTGTGAGGGAGGCAGGGAGGAGGGAGCTGTGGTGCTGAAGCGCCATCAGACAGGGACGGGGAGGGACTCGGTCTGGGATTTACCCTGGGACAGGCCTGTGGAGCTCGGGGAGTCATCCCTGCGCGGGCGCTCAGGGCGGTGCCCGCGGTGCGGCTTGGGGCGGATCGCGACCCCGGTCCCTCCCCGGGGCCCAGTCGCTGCCGCGCGCACGCCGCCCACGCGCGATCGTTGCTATCGCGGCCGCCTGGCTGGCCCGGCCTCGCTGCGCGCGGGGACCCTGCCAGCCATGGCCCAGCTCGGTGACCAGACTCTGCCCGGGCCCGAGACCACGGTGCAGATCCGTGTTGCCATCCAGGAGGCGGAGGACGTAGAGGATCTGGAGGAGGATGACGAAGGGACCCTAGCGCAGGCAGCTGGGGACCCAGCCCGGTACCTCAGTCCAGGCTGGGGCAGCGCCAGCGAGGAGGAGCCGAGCCGCGGGCACAGGTAGGCGAGGTGGCGCGGGCCTGGTGGGGGTACACGGGGCTCCGGGGTGCGACAATTCACCAGGGTAGAGGGTTTGACTCAACCCAGCCACGGAGGCTGCAGACTGAGTCAGAGCCGGCTTTGGGGGACAGTCTATGCCCCAGCCCTCAGCAGGTTTTGATTCTTGATTGACAAGGCTTCCTGAGATGGGGGCGGGGATTTGAGAGACCCAGACCTGGGGTGGGGGGTACTCTGGGATCCAAAAAGAGAGATCTGCATGGGCCATCCTCACCATTCCCACTTCTGAGGAGACGCCGCCCCCTTGGGTGGATGCACCCCACTTGACCCAGTCTGGAGTTCCCCCTAAGGTTGGGCCTCCTCCTGGTGCCAGTGGTCCTAAAGAGCCTTCATCACCTTCATCACCTGCTCTGCTCATCTGTCCAATGGCTTCACTAGGCCTCTGGGTGAGCACAGGCCAGGCACAGCTGACACATGCTGGATGGGGGCACCCAGGAGGGGGTGATTTCCTGGTGGAGAGAGCTTCCTTGTCCTCAGTTGAGATGGCTGAGGGCCATCACTTCCCTCAGCTTGGGGGTTCCTGACTCTGCCTGCCTGTCTTCTGTGCCTGGGGCTGGCTCCCCACTGCTCACTGATGAGTGGCTTGTAGTTGGCATGGCACCCATCTGACCTTGCCCCTGGGCCCTGAGCTTTCTCCTCAGCCAGGCACCCATCGCTAATGTTTAGGCCCTTTGCAACCATGGTTTTCTTATTGTGGTTAAAGAGACATCCCATATGGAGCCGATGAGAAAAGAGACATGGCAATGACACTAGCAAATGCTGAAGAATGCCAAGAGGCCTGTGGTAAGAGTCCTCCTTTGAGATACTGTGCACAGGCTCTCAGCTGTGAAGACTTTGCAGAAGTACCCTCCCTATTGGTGAGAGAAGGCTCAGTTCCAGCATGGGAGCATACTGGGGCCACCTCCAGGGGGCTGCCCCACCCCCAGTTCAAAAAGATGGGACCTTGCTTAAAAGGGTCTGGAAGCCAGAATATCAGGTCAGATCAGCATAGGCATCTGTTGTAGGAGAAAAGGCCAGTCTCACAGTTTAGGGCGGGAACGGTGACATAATAAGTGTCCTGACATCATTGTACAAAAAGCCCTCTCTATGCCCATCATAAAAATGATGAGCATATAAAAACAGCCACGGAGCCAGATAACCCTAGAGGTCATGCAAAATACTTTGTGGCTTTGCTTGCTTGTGACTACAGCAAAAGCTGCTGCCTCCTAAATAGCCAAGGTTAAGGACCCACATATTTCTTGGTCCTAGAAAGATTCTCTAGGGATTCCTAGGAAAAATGGATCCTTGGGGCCTTGTCCCTCACAGGTCACTCCAGAGCCATCCTTCATCACTCTCAGTGCCAGCAGCTCAAGGATCATGGAGCATTCAGCCTGCAACACTTTATATTGCCTACTGGCATAGAGTTGGTCCCTGAAAGTCCCAGTGACTCTTCAGACTCGTGAAGCATGAGGAGATTCAGCCAGGGGCAGGATAATGATGTCACTGTTTGGGCCCAGCATGGTGAATGTTCTCAGCTCCCAGTGCCTGAAGGAAGGAGCCCCAGTTCCTAAATCTGCTTAAGACTTAACACCCACCTACCTCATGCCCTCAGCCCATGGCTGCCTTCTGTCTTATTTCATGCTCCTGGGGCACTGTCCCCCTGAGCATGGTGGCAGACTGGGGCAGGGGTACCTTTTATGCCTGCACTTCTGTCCACCCACATCCCCATTCTGTATTGGATTTCTTGGCAGCCTTGCAAACATCTGCCTCTTCCGCACAGTCCCCATGCCCCTCCCGGAGTGAGCTAGGTTGGTCCCTCTCCTCTGTGTTGCTTTGGTACTCTGTGCATTTTAGGTCTAACACCTTTTTACACTCCTAAATCCACAGTCACACCTCCCTCGAAGGTCTCTGAGCTCTGTGACTGCAGCTCCTGATGCAGAACGGACCAGGCACCTAGTAAATGTGTGTGGGATGAGTACACTCACTTCATAGTGTGAAAAGCCACATGTTCACCTCTGTGAGACAGAGAGACCCTTGGAGGCAGTTTTGTCTTAACCCTTTCCACATCCACAGTACCTAGTCCTGAGGACAAGTAACAAATGAACCATTACTGTTGTCATTCTTTTATATTTGTTAGAGGCATGTGATGGCGCATGGTCTCTCCGGAACACGTGGAAGTATGAAATACTTCATCTTGTAACTCCTAACAGGAAGGTTCCCTAGGAAGCTGTTAACACTACCATTGCCATCTTGGAAAATGAGCAGTAACTCCCTAATGTAACCTCCCAGATGGTCTTCACAGTCAAGGTCCATGGTGAGCGTCCCACAGTCATCTTCTCCAGCTGTCTCAAACCAGCAGCCAGTCAGTTCAGACAGAGTTTGCCTAGTGTGTTGTTTCAGAAGAATCTTTTAGTGGAGAGTTCAGCTTCTAAAAAATGATGAACCTGTAAAGAAAGCAGTTGAACCACCTGGGGGTGGGGGTGGGGTACAGGTGCCCACAGAGATAAAAAAAAAAGGGCATCACTCCCCAAATGCGGCAGGGTCCTGAACAATTTAGCAACAGTAAAAGCTGTTTAACAAATGTGAGATGTTTCTGCCAGTGCTTGCCCGTGTTGTGACTTCACTGCAGCCTTGGTTCTGAGCATAGGGTGCATGCTGCCTCACCACCAAAGGCCAGCAAACGCTGCCCCGAACACCTCAACTCAGATTCAGGACTATGGAATGGTATTGATTGCAAGTGTTTTAGTTGTGCATACAAAGTGTTCTGCTCTCATAGAAACATGATGGTTTAATTATGGAAAACACTTTCTATATTTTCCTAGTTAGTCATTCTCTGGTATATATCAAATTAATTTTAATTGTCTAATTTTAAGATTTTGTTTTTATTTTATTTTAATTGTGTGTGGGGGGGTGTACATGAGTGCAAGTTCTCACAAAGACCAGGGAAAGGTGTCCAGTCCCCCTGGTACTAGAGCTGCAGGTGGCTATGAACTGGCCAAAATGGATGCTGGAACTCAAATTCAGGTCCTCTGGAAGAGCAGCAAACACTCCTAATGTGTTAGCCATTTCTTGAACTCCTGACTAATTGGCTGATTTTAAAAATTGCTATCTGGGTTGTTGATTTGAGCTTCCCAGAAGTATTTTTAAGTGAGTTTTAGCTTGGCATTGACACAGGACTTCCAGTCAATTCTGAAATGGCTCTAGACATTTTCCTACCACTTTGCATTACATATGTATGCAAAGCAGTGTTGTCAGCATTGGCAATGAGAAATATTAATCAAAATAATAACATCTCTGAAAAATATGGTCGATGCCCTTTATCCTGCTGTACCAAATATAAGCCATGGCTCCATTCCTTATGTAACAGCTAGCATGTCCATCTCAGCACCGTGCCAAATTGTTTGTCTTTAACAAATGATAAGATTAGGGAGTTGGAGAAATGGTGCAGTGACTAAGAGTGCCGACTGCTCTTCCAGAAGACTTGGATTTGATTCCCAGCACCCATATGACATCTCACAACCGTCTGTAACTCCAGGTCCAGGGGATCCTCTGGACTCAATGGGTACTGCATGCAAGTGGTGCAGGCAAAATACCCATGTGCATAAAATAAAATTTAAAAATTATTACGAAGAAATTATTTTAAAATAAATGTCTTTATTATTTATCACCAACAAATACTTAGTTTATATACTTGTATATCTGAAGTCTTAAAAATTCTGGGGCAAAAAGGAGGTTCCTAGGGGAAAAGTTTAAGACGCTTCCACCTGGAACATTCTTAACATCTTTCTTTCTAATGTTTTACTACTTTAACAATATAAGACGAGACTTTTTTTTTCAAATGTCTCATTTTTAGATTAGGTTTTATAGTTTCATTAACCCATTTCCTTGTACCATAGACTACCTATAGAAGCAGAAGTTATGGGCTAATGGATTAATTGAATTTAGACTAAACATTTTGACAAGAGTATGTCATAGGCTGTTCCTTGACACTGTTACATCACCTCACCATTAGTCGTGCTAAATTTAACTGTTTGGTTAAAGGTATTTCTCCAGCTTACAGATCTTTGTGGTCCTCCTGTCCTTCACTTATTAATGTGATATGCCACAGTTTTTTATTCATTTTTTTGTTTCTTTGTTTTGTTTTGTTTTGTTTTGAGGCAGCTTTTCTCTGTGGCTTTGGAGGCTATCCGGGAACTAGCTCTTGTAGACCAGGCTGGTCTCAAACTCACAGAGATTCGAACTCACAGAGATCTGCCTGCCTCTGTCTCCTGAGTGCTGCGATTAAAGGTGTGTGTCACCACCGCCCAGCTTTTATTTGCATATGCTAAACCATCCTTGCACTCCAGAAATAATTACTGTTTGATTATGATGGATAATGCCTTTATTTAAAATGTGTATTAATTGTATATATGTGGGCATGCAGGTTCCCCAGATGGCAAAGGAGAGCATCAGATTCCCCTGGAGCTGGAGTTACAGTGGTTGCAAGCTGCCATACATGCCACACACTGGTCCTCTGTAGAAGTAATGTGTGAACTTCTGGTCTATCTCTCCAGACCCAGTCCTTCTGTTTTTGTTTATTGTTTTAGTTTTAAGGGGTAGAGTCTCAGCATGTTTCTCAGGCTGATGAACTCTTTTTTGTTTGTTTATTTGTGTTTCTCTGTGTAGCTTTGGAACCTATCTTGGCACTGGCTCTGTAGGCCAGGATGGCCTGGAACTCACAGAGATCCGCCTGCCTCTGCCTCCTGAGTGCTGGGATTAAAGGCTTGCACCACCAATGCCCTGCGCCAGGCTGATGAACTCTTTCAGTAAGTAGTCTGTCCTCTTGCCTGAGCCTCCCAAGCAGCTTGGACTACAGGTCCATCCTCTGACTACCAGGTAACAATCCTTTTAATGTTGTTGAAATCTGTTTGCATCTGTGCTCTTCTGGAGTATTGGATTATAACCTCCTTTTTTTGTAGTGCCTCTGCCTGCCTTTAATAATGGAGTAATACTTGTAAAACAAATTTGGGAGTATTTCATCCAACCAACTCTTAGGGATAAGTTTGAGAAGGATTGGTATTCATTCTTTCCTTAGATATTGATGAAGTTCAGCAGCAAAGCCATCAGATCACAGAGATTTTTTTCTTTGATGGGAGATATTTGTTTTACATTTAAAATTTTGTTTCATTATTTTATGGTTTTTTTTTTTTTTTGCATGTGTGTCTGCGTATCACCTAAATGCAGTGCCTATGGAGCCCGGAAGAGGACATCATATACATGAATTTGACAGGTTATTTGTGAGCCGCCAAGTGGGTGCTTAGACCTGAACTTGAGTCCTCTTGAAGAGAAGCCAGTGCTCTTAGCCACCTTTCCAACCCCTCTCCTTATCATCTGGACAGACCAAGGGTTCCTCTCAATAAAGCCAGAAGAATTAATTACCTCCCCTTCATTTCTATGTCAGTGTTGACACTCGAACTGGATGCTTTAAATGAGTCCTTTCCTCAAACTTGAGCTTGCCCCCATTTCTATTCATGGAGTTTTGCCTGTTTTCTTTTGTTATAATTAGTTACAGTCATTAATTTTGATGCTTAGACCGTCTATCATGTAGCTGGAGGTGCTCCTTCAATCCACACACCCTTTGGGGACACATCCTCTTGGTTTTGAGCAGAACCTCACTTTCGGGAACTCCATACTCCAGGCTTAATTTGTACTTTTCCTTCTCCAGTCATGGGAATTAGGAATTCCCACAGGAGTCCATGGATTTTTGAAACACTAGTGAGAAAGCAAGTGTTAGAAACCAAGACCTAAAATAAAAAGTGCTTGTTTCTACCAGGGCACCATCACTTTCAGGGTCCTCCCAGGCATTGGACTGCTTTTAAAAACAAATCTGTATAATAATTCAATCTTAGCATTACAATATTTTGCTGTTACTTCCTTTTTCACACTGAGAATTTTGACTCCCTGTGATGTTTGTAAGAATATATGAGAACAGCCATGCAGCACACACCACCTTCACCAGTGGTATCCAAAACATAATGGTTCCTTTGACACTTTCTCCAAAGTTGAGCGCATATCCAGATGTTTTCAGATATCTCAGTGAAAAGCCATTATCTTAAGAGAAAAAAAAAAAGAAAGGAAGGAAGGGCAGAAAAAGATTCATTTATTTTTTTTTTAATGTATGTGTATGACTCGAGTGTGTGCAGGTGCCATCTGAGGCCAGAAGAGGGCACTGAGTTCCCTGGAGTGGGAGTTAGCAGTCAGCTGTAAGCTGCCCAATCTGGGTGCTATGAACCAAACTTCAGACCCCTGCGAGACTCCCTAGTGCTCTTAACCACTGAGCCATCTCCTCAAACCCAACCATTATTGTTTGTTTTCGTCTTTTTACAGTGCTGGAGAATGAACCCAGGGCCTTGTGCAAGCAAGTGCTCTACCACTGAGCTCCTTCCTCAGCCCAGAAACCTTTGATGTCTGTATCTGTTTAATCACATTGGCTGCCCTCTTTTGAACTAACTCTGATTCATTCTACTTACTGTAGAAGTAAATCAAAAACAACACTATGCAGATGGTTCTGAGATGAAGTGTTTTTATATACGGTGTTTCTTCTTTGTGTTTACTGTCCTCCATGTTGTTGTTCATCAATTTCCTTGTCTCTGAGGCCCAAACACTCTAGTAGATCATTTATACTATGAATTCCCAAACTCTCCCCTGGGCTGGAAGTCCTAGTGAGGATCTCGTGGCTCCATGTGCATCTGGGTGTTTTCCTTTCTCAAAATGTCTTGTGATTAACCACTGAGTCAACACACCCACATTAGTTTGAGATTTTATGAGAAAAATAGCTTTGGAGATTTTGCTCATTTTTTCCTCCAAATTCCCTATAAAAGTGATCAATATTACAGGACTGCTCCCCAGAAGTCATTCATCTATTTTGATATAATTTCTATCTTCTGTGTTGATTTCAAAACCAAATTACAGCCATAGTGAACACCTTTCTCAGTTTACAATGTTTTATGTGAACAGCAGTATTTGAGTATGAAATTTTATGCCTCTTATTTATTTTTGAGATGGGCATAGCCCAGGCTGGCCTGAAATTTCTAGGTAGCTGAGGATAACTAAGCTTCTGATCCTCCTGCCTTCACCTTTTATGAGCTCAAACTACAGGCATGCATCTCCATACCTTCTTTATGAGGTGCTGGGATCAAACCCAAGACTTGCTCTATGTTTGGTAAATGCTCTGCTGATTGAGCTTCATCCACACCCTTAAGTCTTCTTCAAGAGGAATTAATATATATTTACAGTAACTACACTTCCTTTCTAGAACCATCTCTGAAAGCCAGGTATGGTGGTGCATGCCTTTCATTTCAGCACTCAGGAGACAGAGACAGGCAGATCTCTATGAGTTCAAAGTCAGACTGATCTATAAATGGAGTTCTAGGCCAGCCAAAGCTACATGGTGATCCTGTCTCAAAACAAAACAAAAACAAAAACAAAAACAAATAATAAGGGTCTCTGTAGATATGAGTTACCATAACAAAACCTATTTGCTTTATGTGACAAATACTTTTAAAACTTTCTACTATGTGCAAGCCTCTTAAATGATACTAGAATAAGAGAAGCCAATATGACTTCTACCTGCCACTTAGGATTCTGGGTGCTAATAAGATGTGCACGTAAGGAGCGACGATACAAATACAGACAAGAATTAGAGGTGATTTCTATCCTGGAAAGTCACTTTGGAGATGCATGGCTAAGAGGGGGACAAGCCATTCAAGGAGTCAGCAGTACCATGTGCAAGGGTATGAAGTGAGGAAGCTTTTGACACAGGGCCTTTCAATTTGCTTGGAGCAAAGGGCGTTGAAGGAAGCAAATGGAAATGAGCTGGCGTGGTGTCGACAGCTTGATTCTAAGTGCATTTGCATGTGAAGCTAAACTCTGTAGGTTTTGTTTGGTGAGCAATAGGAAGTGTGTTCCAATCAGTAGTAATATTATTAAAGTAGAACAGCTGCATATTCTAACACCATCTTTACAATATGTAATGCGGCACTGTGAGGAGGAGGCTGGAGCCCAAAATACAGCACAAGAGATGGGAGGAGGTGGGAGATGGAACAGAGAAAGGCTCTGCTTGGGAAATGTATGAAAATACAAGAATAAAAAGAGAAGCAATATCTGAAGGATCATTTGATTTACATTTTTCCATTTAGCCCTGTTTCCCAGTCTCTGTCTGCCAGCAAAGAGAGTCAGGCAACAAGGCAGGTACTGCCAAGCAGGAGAAGGGAAGCGAGGCTGTTTCTGAAGGAACTGGATGTATCCCTGCTGAGTTCTAAGGAGGCTAAAGGGATCTGGGAGCTGCAGGGAAAAGTCTCTCAGCTTTGGGTGGAAAGCTCAAGGGGATGATTCTCTGAGAATGTTTGCTCTCAATGGAAGCCTGCCCCCTCTGGTTGTTTAGAGCCTACTAGGAAGAAAACCAACAAGGGCACAGATCTGCAGGGGGAGCTTTTTAACCCACTAAGGAAGGCACCAGGTCCTCCTCCTTCCAACTGAATAATATGGAGCCTAACTTCCCTCCTGAAGAGTAGGCAGGGGATACTGACTTCTTCCAAGGGAAAATAATGGTTTTAGGTGGAGAAACCTGACCAGCACAGTGCAAAGTTGTGTTGCTGTGTCCTGATATGGTGTCCGGAGGATGGAAGTTGACCTCCTTGGTCCTCCTCCCCAGATCCCATGTCTTGAATCAATCATGGTGGAGGCATCAGAGAAACCTCAATGGCAAGACATTCCACAGCATACTTAACTAGGATGTTTCAACACTGTCAAGGTCATCAAAGATAAGGACATCTGGAGAAAGTCAAAGCTAAGAGGAGGCCAGGAGATGTGTAATACAGCACTTCATGAGAATTCCTGGGTGGGATCCTTTAGGGGAAAATGACAGAAGCCTAAACTATGTACTTGAGCAAATGACACTGCATAATTGTCCTCATTAAGAAGTATACTATAGTATTAGGAGGCATTAATAATAATAATAATAAACCTGGTGTGAGACATACAGAAGAACTCACTGTGTTATTTTAATAACTTTTCTGTAACTCTAAAACTATTCTAAAATAAGCTTATGAAATTTTAAGCAAAAAAGTGAATTGTTTATTAGTCACTTGAAGCAAAGCAATAGCATGAAAAGTAGTTAGAAGAACAGGAGGTGGTAGTGTTTGAAAAGTCAGTACTCTGCTACTGTATCCTGTATCCAGCAAGCAAGAACAGTATGCTCTTAAAAGGGAATAGTCTAGGGCTGGGGAGATAGCTCAGTCAGCAATGTGCTTCCTATATAAGCATGAGAATCAGAATTTGGATTCCCAGTTCCCCCATCAGTGAGGGGCAGGCATGGTGACCCAACTATAAACCCAGCTCATACACATGTACCCATATGCATGTGAACATCACACACACACACACACACACACACACACACACACACACACACACACGAGATCTAGTTTAAAAAGAAAGAAAGGAAGAAACGAAAAGGCAGAAGGATGCAGTCTGAGGACCAACAACTGCCCTTCACTGCTAAGGCAAAGACAGATGGCACACAAGCAAGAAAGGATAAGCTCAGATCAGTTCAGACAGTCACTTAACTATTAGGACACGATCAGGGAGTAAATACAATCTTAGCTGGGCATGGCAGTGCATATCTGTAATCCCACCACTTGGAAGGTGGAGGCACCAAGATCTGGAGAATCCAAGGCTAGCCTGAACAACACGGCAACATAAAGGCTACCCTGACCATCATTGTATGGCCTGCCTTGAAAACAAAAACAAAAAACAAAACCGTCTCAAAAGTGATGGGTGTGTAGCTCTGTGGTAGAGAACCTGCCGAGAATGTTCAAGACCCTGGATTTGATCCCCATCCAGCACTTAAACAAATGTTATCTTAGCAAATAACTGCCCTGCAGGGAATGTGTTTTCACAGCCACAATAATAAAACAGGTTAACTTTCAACTTTCATATCTATCTCTAGACAGCACTTGAAATATTATTTTGCAGCACAGAGTAAGGTAATAAACTGTGGAAAATGGAGTAGAAGTTCTTCTAATCGAATTTGGAAGGTTGGAAATGGAAGGAGAGACTGCAAAAGGTGGGATGAAACAGCGCGTATCTATTTAATGAGCAGTGATTGAGATAATACAAATCAAGTAAGAAACTAGGAAGGCTGAGAACTATTGGCCTACTACCATCCATCCACCGGCTGGTCCATCCAGCATGTAGATAAACTCTAGCTGTCTCCAAGGTCAGAAAACTGCGCGCCTAAACTTGAACACATCTAGAGTTGAGTTTTATATTTACTCGGCGTTTTTTGTTGTTGTTTTGTTTTTAGTTTTATAGAGGTTGAAAGCTATTTACAGTGAATTATATAATTTTTGGAATCCTGACAAATTCATAGATCTGTGTCACCTAGACCCCCACTGAGTTTCTGCCACCCAGTAACATTCCCTTAGGCTCCTTCCTAGACAGCCCTTGCCCCAGGGGACACCCCTTTGTTGTCATCAGAGAGCACTTGGCTTGTTCTATCTTTTTAAAAGATTTATTTATTTTACGCATATGGTGCTCTACCTACATATAGAGCCTACATACCAGAAGAGTATATCAGATCCCATTATAGATGACTGTGAGCCACCATGTTGTTTCTGAGAATTCAACTCAGGACCTCTAGAAGAGCAGCCAACATTCCTAATCGCAGAGCCATCTCTCCAGTCCCTTCATCTTTTAAATCTATTTTTGGAGTTGTTTTTGAATTTTTTTTGAGAGAGGGTCTCACTATGTAACTCTCAATCCTCTTGACTCAGCCCAATACTTGGATTACAAGTGTGTGCTACCAAAAGCAATAAATTACTGTTTTCTCCGAATTCCAAAAAAAAAAAAAAAAAAAAAAAAAAAAAAAAAAATAATTTTCTTCTTAAAAGCAAACAGATCCAGGATATGGCTCCACTGTCTGAGTACTTACCGAACATGCATGAAGCCCTAGGTTTGATCTCCAGTACTGAGTAAACTGGGCACAGTAGTGCAACACTCCTATTCCCAGCACATGGGAGGCAGAGGCAAGTGGATCAAGAACTCAAGCTCATGCTTAGCTACATAGTGAGTTTGAGGCTAGCCTGAACTACATGAAAAATCTGTCTGCAAACAGACAGAAGGCTAGTAAAGAACCAAGAGCAAAACAAAAGCTTTAACATTGGAAGAAGAGGCCATGGGATTTAAGTGACCCTAAATTATTATTTTATAATAGGGTACCTTCAGACACTACACCAGTGAAAACAACTACAAACACCTAAGGATCTGAGCCCAGCCGGTAACGATGTCTGTTAGTGGGGGATAGGATGAGGTATAGAATGGTGGCCAGTGGAGAGTTTTGTCTGGATTCTGGTGCATTGGCAAATGATAGAACTTACAACAAATGACCCACACATAAAGTGGGCAGACCAATCAGTAAGTTCTACTCCTAAACTGAAGCAGCTGATCCCTGATCAAAGGTAAACATAAACAGAGCAAGGCAGAAAGTAGGCAGCGAGCAGAGGCTCTGCCTCTCAGGACCTAGGCTGGAGCCCTGGGCTTCCCAAGGCCAGCTGTGCTTGCTTCCTCCCTGGACGGCACTCATCTCCCCTCTCACATGGGCCTGGGATGATGGGGTGCAGCCAGGCTTCCTCTATGCAATACCCCTCCAGAGACACCCCTACAGAGCATGTCTGCCTGGACTCCCGTGCTCCAGCTGGTCCTCTTGTACCTCACTGCAAGATTCAACACCATCACCCACCTCTCCATACCCTCTCCCCTCTGGGCATAGGTGACTTACTCTTCCCTGATTCGTCCCCCACTTATCTGCCTGTTTTGTCTCTTCTTTTTCCTCCCATTTCTAAATGTTCCCATCCTCTAAGCATCTATTCTTGAGTGTCTGGATATTGGCTCTTATTTGAACTGTACTCCCCAATGGCTGTGACCACATGGCCATGAAGAAAGAGGCTTTCCCCCCAACCAGATAACAGATCAAGTTTTTGTTTTTGTATATGGAGTATCTCTGGCATAGCGGGGTCTTGGAAAGCCGAGGGCTCCAGGACAGGCCCTATGGTCCAGATATTCTGCTCTACTGTCTTCTAAAAATCATACCTGGAGGTGGGAATCTGGAGAGGGAAGACAAAATCCATGTATGTCATTTGGGAACGAGTGCATTTTGCTGGCATCTGAGTAACAAATTTTAGTTTATTTTTGTGCAGGTGTGTTTATATGTATACATGTACATATGCATATATGTGGAGTCTTTCTCAGTTGTACTCTACCTTTTTTTTTGAGGCAGAGCCTCTGTTTGAACCTGGGGCCCACCAATTTGGCTAGACTTGCAGATTACAGTCGGGCACTACCATCTTCTGGCTTTTTACCTGTGTGCTGGGTGGGGATCTGAACTCAGGTCCTCATATTCCTGTGTCAAACACTTGACCAATTGAGCCTCAGCCCTGTGTTATTATTTTCAATATCCTCTATACTTGTTAAAACAAAAGCTTGACTTCTCTGGTGATTGAGGACAGAGCCTTCAGAATATTTTATGGCCAACCACCTTTAAGGAAGCCAATTCAGATATGACAAGTCTATGGGTTGCTATGACAACCAGGTGCATGCTAGATAGTATATAACCAACAGAGAAGTTGTAAATGAGGGGTCCAGTTCAGATAAGATCAGATGTACACTCAAGAATGGATGCTTGGAGAATATGTAGCTTTACAAATGGAAGTACAAGGAAGAGATGGAGCAGGAACCTGTCATGGTTCTGGGGAAGAAGCTGTGTCACCTTGATCTCCACCTGAGCAGCTGTTTCCTGGCTTTTATCTGCACCCAAGTTCCTGGCTTTCATGAGGACCTCATATGCACGGGATTGAGGGCCATCCTACTCTACAATGGGCTCCCCCTTACATTAACATCCACAGTGACTGACTCCAGATAAGGCCAAATTCTGGATCCCCGGGGCCTGAGGCTTCAATCTGTGAATTTGGAGGGTGGCAGTTCAACGCATAACTAACTCGCTGTCTCCCTCTGACCTCAGCAGTGCCACGACAAGTGGAGGTGAGAATGAGCGTGAGGAACTGGAGCCGGAGTGGAAGCCCCCGGATGAGGAGCTCATCAGGAAGCTGGTGGATCAGATTGAGTTCTACTTTTCGGATGAGAACCTGGAGAAGGATGCCTTCCTACTCAAGCACGTGCGGAGGAACAAGCTGGGCTACGTGAGCGTCAAGCTGCTCACCTCCTTCAAAAAGGTGAGGCCGGTGTCCCAGAGGCTGCTCATAGCATTTCAGAGGTAATGCCCTTGTGGTGTTAAACATTTTGATATTTTGTTTTGTTTTGCACCCCACCACCCACCCCCTGCCACAGGCCCTCCTGCCCAGCAAATATTTAATTAAATATGATGCCTGAAAAAGAAAAATTATCAAGAGAAGGGATTCAGTGGTGATAGGTCCTAACTCAGGCGTTAAAGTGTTTACCATACAAGCATGGGGACCTGAATTTGATCCCCAGAACACACATGAAAAAGCCAAGCTTGGTTCCATGCCTGTAATTCCAGAGCTGGGGAGGTAGCAAAAGATCTGTGGGACTAAAGAGCAAGCCAGCTTAGCCTACTGGGTGGGCTCTATGCCAATGAGAGACTCTGTCTTGAATATAGATAGATAGATAGATAGATAGATAGATAGATAGATAGATAGATAGATAGATAGATAGAGATATGGATAGATCCTGAGAGGAATGACACCCAGGACTGACATCTGGTTCCGATAAACACACACACACACTCACACACACACACACACACACACACACACACACACACACACACGAGCATTATGAGAGCATTCCTGAGAACATACTTGCATGCTATGTAAAGTGTTCTGAGTGCTAGGATAGATCTCAGCTGGTGGTTAGTAAGAAATGCTGTGACTTCCTCAGTAATGTTTGGGTCTTCTTGCCAGGCACACGGATGCCCAGAGGATGCTACACCAGAACAAGGGGTTCTGGAGACCTTGAGAGATGCCTGTCAGTCTAGAATTGCATGACACCCACTCATGCTTTCCACTTGAGGAGCTGAGTCAGTATGGGATGGGAGAGAACACACAGAACTCAGTGAGAAAATCCTCCTCCGTGACTCCAGCATGCTCCGCTCTGTGTGATACCAAAGGGAACTCTGTGTACCAGAGTGATAGATGCTGAGGGGGCACTGGCAGCCACGCAGGAGGCTGCCCGCCCCTGCTGTGGACAGATGCAGAACTTGGGCCCTAGACTCCGTGCTCTCAGAGGACTGACTAACCAGTTGGAATAATGACTCTGTATCTCCCTTGGGAGAAGTGTTTTTACTAGAATGGGAAAGCACCATGCAGCTTGTTGCATAATGGCTTATGTAAGGAGTGGGTCCCCAGAAGGAGTGGTCCTGGCCTAGATGCCTGTGCACTTTTTTTGTACTGGAGGAAAGCTCAACATCTTGCGGCTTGTCTCTGTCTGGTTCCCTGGTATGCTCTGCCTTCTTCATGGGCTCTTTTTCTTTTATTCATCTAATACCAAATGTATTATTCTTTGTATTTGATGAGTGTTGTGTTAAGTGCAAGAGGTACAAAATGAATATGGTATTCTGTCTTTCCTTGAGAGACTTACAGTCCAACAGAAGACAAGAGAGCCATGAAATGCTATGGGATAACCACAGACAAACTGATGGAAGACATAAAGATATTTGGGGACTAGCTGATCAGAGCAATGAACTCTATCTAGAAAACTGAGATGTATTCTTGGAGTGATGGCGTTGGGATGTGGTCTTGGGGGATGAATAGGAATTGCAAGGTCCCAATGGGAAGGAATGCTTCATGTTCAGACAACAAGATCTGCCATGAAAAATACTTCCAGGGTTGGGGCCTTCTGAATGAAAAAGCCAGTGGGATCCTCCCCAAGGGCTTCAAGAGCCACCCTGGTTTTCTCTTCTTTCCTAGCTGCCACTTACAGATACACTCAGGAGCACTCTCTCTTTAAAGCCAGCTGCAAGGTGGACAATTCACACACCCCCAGCTCACACTCCCCAATTCACACCCCCGCAAGTCAGAGCACAGACTTTTTCCTTCTAGAAAGATTTCCCGCCAGTCAGAGGAACGTGTCACAGGAAGGCAACAAATGCAAGGAGATTACAAAGCGTTTGTTCCTTTCCTCATCACTGTGACAAAATACCTGACAAATGTGGCATATGGCTTTAGGTCAGTGTTGAAGGTGCACCCCATCCTGTCAAGTAAGGCACAGCAGCAGCAGTGTGAGGCGGCTGGTGGCATGGCACCCACAGACAGGAAGCAGAGCAGAGGAGTGCTGCTGTTCATCTTGCTCTCTCTCTTTTATTCAGTCAGGGACCTGGCCCTGAGATCAGACTACCCATGTTTAGGGTTCATCTTGCCTCTACAGGTAAACCTTATGGAACCCTCCTCACAGACACATCCAGAGGCTTGTGTCCATAGAGTTTCTCAATCCAATCAGGTTGACGATGATGGGCAACCATCACACAGAGTTTCTGACAGTCTGACAGAGTTCTAGAGTCTGCCCAAGGCCAAACTTCTTTCTTTAAAAAAAAAAAAAAAAAACGTGTGTGTGTGTGTGTGTGTGTGTGTGTGTGTGTGTTAGTGAATGCATGTGTACCATGTGTATGCAGTACCCTCAGAGTCCAGAGGAGGACATCAGGTCTTCTGTAACTAGAGTTATAGACTGTTGGGAGCCATCGTGTGGGTGCTGGGAATTGAATCCAAGTCCTCTACAAGAGCAGCCAGTGCTCTTTACTGCTGAGCCATCTCTCCAGCCTCCTGGTTTCCATTCTGATGTGATATTGGAAACTCGTAAAGCATCACAGACATGGACCTGAGATGCCCATAGAGTAAGCAAGGTTTCCCAGGGGACCTGGCTCTTGCCTCTGTGTGTGCCCTCGTCCTCTACAGCTCTCCTCTCTGGTAGGACATGGTCCTCCCTAGTGCTCACCCTCCCTGGTAAGGCAGCACATGCTTCCCTGCTCTGACTTGACTTTGAGCCTAGGAGGGATTTCTTCGCCTCTTCTGCATGCTCCCTTCCCAGCTGTTTTCACAGATGGCTCCATCATGCCGGCCCTTGGCTTTCCTACAACCTTGCAGTCATCTTCATCCATCTGAACCCCTTCTGGATTTCTGATTGACTAAACGTTCACTAGAAAAACCCAGGCCTGCTTCTCTGACTCATAGTGATCCACCCAAGGACTCTTTGTAGGTGACCTAGGGTTTCTTCATGCTAATAATGAGAGGCCACAGGCCACAGTGAACAGTGTACATGCTCCAGCAGTGTGTCAGTCAGGACTGGGGCTCTGTGGAGGTTTCCCTGGCCTGTCCAAAAAGAGAGGCTTCTTTTCTTGCTTTCTGTGCCTTCTCTGTTTGAGTCCCAGGGGCAAGGGGAATTCCTGGTTCCTCTGCAGATCAGCCTCCTGGACCTGGCCTTGGAGGATTCTGGGTGATTTCCCCATCCAGGCTCAGGTTACCCACCCCACCCACATCCTACCCTTCTCTGGGATGACTCATCGCCCTGGCAGGCCCTTCACTGGAAGTGGGCCTCCGCAAAATTGCCGTTTTATGAAATAAATATAGCTTTTCATATACTGCAGCATCAGTACACAAGGTTTCCATCATGGGAAGGAAGGGAGGAGTTGTTTCATCAGTTCTCAAGAGGCCCAGGTCAGTGTAATTCCATGTTCTGGTGTCTGTCCCCGTTACTCTTGGGGGAGGTTACAGCGGAACAGAGAAGATCTTTTAGAGGCTTCTCTTCATCAACTGTCAGTCACAGCTTCGGGAGACTGTCAGACCCTCCAAATCCTCTCAAAGTAGCAGCACATTCAGTGGTGACTGCCTCAGTCCCAGCGTTTTGGAGGCCTAAATTGGAGGGCTTAAGAGTTTGAGTCCAGCCTGTACAATAGAGTGAAACCCTGTCTCAAAGAAGAAAAACTCTGGGTTGGGGCTAAAGCTCATGGAAGACTGCTTGCCTGACATTCTACATTCAGTTCCAAGGACCACCCAAAGCTCAGTTGTCAAATTTTTGTGTACAAATGTGCCTCTATTTTTTGCTATTCATTTAATCTCTCTCTCTGTGTGTACACATGTGTAAGTGCAGATACGTAGTAGCTGGAGATTAATCTTAAGTGTCATTCCTCAGAAGCCAACCACCCTATTCTTTGAGACAGGTTCCCTCCCTACCTGGAACTGGCTGGCTGGTGGCTGGCTGGTAAGCCTGTCTCTGATTCCCCAGTGCACAAGTCACCTTACCCTGGCTTTTTGCATGGGTTCTGGGAGTCAAAGTCATGTCCTTATGCTTGCATGACAAGCACTTTACCAAAGTCCTCATTTCGTCTTTGTGACAGTGCTATGAAGTAGGTTTTTTTGTTGTTGTTGTTTTGTTTGTTTGTTTGTTTGTTTTTGTTTTCGAGAGACAGGGTTTCCCTGTGTAGCATTGGAGACTGTCCTGGAACTAGCTCTTATAGACCAGGCTGGTCTCAAACTCACAGAGATCTGCCTGCCTCTGCCTTCCAAGTGCTGGGATTAAAGGCGTGCATCACCACCACCACCCCGCGAAACAACATTTTTAGTGTCTCTAGCACTCAGATGAGGAGGTTGGGTACTGAGAGGCTGAGTAATTTTCCAAGTCTTCCTAGTGGATGGAGAGGAAGCTTGGATCTATGTACATTACAGCCTTGTTCTAGAGTGTACAGAATCTAACTTGTGAACTGTGAGAATTTCTAAGTCATGCAGTACTCCACTGCCCAGCACTGCTCCAAACCCTGCTGTCCAGATCTGAAGCTGAAGAAAGAAGGGCTGTGGTGTAACTCCATGCATGAGTTACAAAAAAAGGCAAAATGTGTTTATGATCTGAAGAGAAACCAGAGCTATTGTTACTATGTTGGCTTTAGTCACTATAGCAAAGACTTGGAATCAATCTAGGCTGTCCACCAACAAATGAATGGATAATGAAAGATCTGACATATATGAATATTATATATGAATACTACTCAGCTCTAAAGAAAAAATGTAACCAACATTTGCAGGAAAATGGATAGACCTAGAATGTATAATATTCAGTGAGGTCACACAGTCTCAGAAAAGAAAAAAAAAAAGATGTCCTCTCTCACATGCAGAATCTAGCCAGTAGCCTGTGCACATATGTGAACAACCATGCGTATGAGTGCAGTATAATGTGTAGAAAAGCGAGCAAGAAAGGCTATTAGGATGAGGAAGGACTGAATGCAGGTGCAGGACGTGAGTTATGAAGCAGGATCTAAAGCTGTCCTAACTCTTTTGTGGGTGTTTGATGGATAACTGCATAAAGTGCATTTGACAGTGAAAGTGCAAAACCCAGTGTGAAGCTCCACAGCTTCAGAATGGCTATTCTAACTGTTCATTGAGATATGTAATATAACATGATAACTAAAAACCCAGAGACTGATGCTGGGGTCCAAGCTTCAAGCTGAAGTTCAGTGAAGCAAAGCAGCTAAGCCAGTAGCTCTCACCTCTACCCAGCTGAAATGGCAATCCTGTCTCCATGAATTCTCTGAGGCAAAAGCTCTCTGCTCCTGCCTCCTCCTCCTCCTTATATTCCTTTCTCTGTCAAGTCATGTGACTCCTGTCTCCACCTCCCTAGTGCTGGGATCAAAGGCATGAGCTCTGTTACTCTTCACTCTTGTGTAGGCCATGGTGGCCTTTATTTAACTCAGAGAGATCCATCTGCCTGTCTCCTAAATCTTGGGATTAAAGGTGTGTGCCACCACTGCCTGGCTAGCTAGTATGGCTGCTGGGATTAAAGGTGAGTATCACCACCACCTGACCTCTACAGCTTCGCTTTCTGAATCCTTAGGCAAGGTTTAATAAATCGTAAATAACATATGTAGACTTTGGGTCTGGTTAATTTCAGCATATGGTGTTTTTTTATTTTACAATTTTTATAATAAAGTTAATTAAACATTTTAAAAGGAAAGCAACTATTGAAGAAGTAGTTGGAGACATTTTTCATTTACTCATTCTCTGACAGGTATTTGAGTGTCTCCCACAAAAGGTATGACTCTAGTTATTGGTATTACGAAGGGAGAGAGGGTATAGCATATACGAGTATGGAAAGGAGAGGAGGTAACCATTCAGACCTGCTTTGTGTTCTTTCTTTAGGTGAAACACCTCACACGGGACTGGAGAACCACAGCACACGCCTTGAAGTATTCAGTCACCCTGGAGTTGAATGAGGACCACCGGAAGGTTAGGAGGACCACCCCTGTGCCACTGTTCCCCAATGAGAACCTCCCCAGCAAGATGCTGTTGGTGTATGATCTCCACCTGTCCCCTAAGCTCTGGGCCCCGGCCACGCCCCAGAAGAACGGAAGGGTGCAGGAGAAGGTGATGGAGCATCTGCTCAAGCTCTTTGGGACTTTTGGAATCATCTCATCGGTGCGGATTCTCAAACCTGGGAGAGAGCTGCCCCCCGACATCCGGAGGATCAGCAGCCGCTACAGCCAGGTGGGGACCCAGGAGTGTGCCATTGTGGAGTTTGAGGAGGTAGATGCGGCCATTAAAGCCCATGAATTCATGGTCACTGAATCTCAGGGCAGGGACAACATGAAAGCCGTCTTGATTGGGATGAAACCACCCAAAAAGAAACCCCTCAAAGATAGAAACCATGATGATGAGCCCGCAGCAAGTACCCACCTAAGCAGGTCCCTGAACAAGAGAGTGGAGGAGCTTCAGTACATGGGGGATGAGTCTTCCGCCAACAGTTCCTCTGACCCCGAGAGCAATCCCACCTCTCCTATGGCTGGCCGGCGGCACATGGCCACCAACAAGCTCAGCCCTTCTGGCCACCAGAATATCTTTTTGAGCCCAAATGCCTCGCCATGTTCAAGTCCTTGGAGCAGCCCCTTGGCGCAGCGCAAGGGCGTCTCCAGAAAATCGCCACTGGCTGAAGAAGGTAGACTGAACTTCAGCACCAGCCCCGAGATCTTCCGGAAGTGCATGGATTATTCTTCAGACAGCAGCGTCACTCCCTCGGGCAGCCCCTGGGTTCGCAGACGACGCCAAGCTGAGATGGGGACACAGGAGAAAAGTCCAGGGGCAAGTCCCCTGCTGTCTCGGAAGATGCAGACCGCAGATGGGTTACCTGTAGGGGTGCTGAGGCTGCCCAGAGGCCCTGACAACACCAGGGGCTTCCATGGTGGACATGAGAGAAGCCGAGCCTGTACATAATAGCTTCTATTTTTAATACTGCCTCCTTTGAAAACAAACTTTGTTTTCGAGGTCCTCACAAATAGCTAGCATGACAGAGAATGGAATTCAGTCCCCTTAGAAAGCTTTTGTACCCATGTAGACCTCGAGATTCCTGGCATGTGTGAGTGTGATGGCTCTGAAGGGCTATGGGACACAGGCTCTCTGGAAAGATCTAGCAGTGAGTTTGTCTGTGGAGACTGGCTTTTTCCTGCAATGACTGAGCTGTCCTTGGCAGGCCATGCAAGGGCTCCTCCTGAGACCTCAAAGGAGTTTTCCTCATTGGCAAATCCTTTCAGCCAATAGCATGGTGTCTTATAGGACTGAGTGTCTATTTCCTGTCAAGTGAATAAATAATAAAACACCCAGTGGGAGTCCTGTGTCTGAGGTCACAGGCAATACCTTTTAGACAAGGAACCCAGCAAGGACATGTTTTCTCCATCTACCCTACAGTGTACTCCCAGGGCAGGCCTGGACTCACCCGGGGGCTTCTGACAGCCTAGGAGGTCTGTTGTCACAGTGAGTCTCACAGAACAGGCAGCTTTAGTTTCTGCTGATGCCCTACAGCATCCCAGACCATAAGCATTGACAGCACTTGAGAACTTTGTAGAAATGCACATTTCCAGGCCCCATCTCAGGCCAAATGATTGAGAAACTATCGGGGGAAGGGGTTTCTAGGTGTGTTTTTAAATATTTGCTCTTATTTTTATTTATATGTGTCTGTGTGAGTGCATGCCATATGTATGCCGGAATGGGGCAACAAGTCCACCGAAATTGGGGTTATAGGGTATGAACTGCAGAATAGAGAAGTGAACTTGGATCCTCTAGAAGAGCAACAAATGATCTTAACCCTGAACCGCTCTCCGGGTCCAGAATCTAGAGTTTGAAAAGCCCTGCAGATGTTTCTGATATATGCTAGTGTGAGAACCCTTGAGGTGACCAAAGCTGCAGGGCCCCCCCCATGTCAGCCAGTCTGACCCCACATCTCACTCCTATTCTGTGACTTGGGGGTGGTGCTAAGCTCCCAAGCCTTCTGGCACCTGTGGGGTGTGCTTTACTGTACAGTCGTGTGTGGAATGTAGTCAGTCAGTCCTCCATAAACGCTGGCTCCATTTCCTTCTCCCCTGGCTTTTGTCTGTTATCTTCCCATTTTGGTGTACCATACCCTGGCCTAGAGCCCAACGTTGGCTTATCCATGGGCCATGGCAGGGGATTTAGGACTTATTAAGAATCAAGTAATGATTATTTGCCAGGAACTGTGATAAAAGCTTTCCCATGTTTTATCTCATGTAAATCATCCCAACACCATGTGAAGAAAAAAAAAAAAAAAACAGAAAGACTCAGGTATTGGAGCTACTTTATACCAGATGTAAAAAAGAAAAAAAGAGACCTCATGTGGGCAACTAACCTGTATCTGGGTTGGTGGTTCTGGGGTTCACTTTGTTGCTGGTAGTGGTGATAGTGATGTTGGTGGTGCTGGTGTGAGGCTGGTTATAGGATTGGTGCTGGTGGGGGGGTATTTTCTAAGATAGCCTTGCCATATAGCATTGGCTGATTTCAAACTCCCAATCCTTTAGCCTCAGTCTAAGAAGGCTACATATGCACCATCACCCCAAGCTAGCATTAAATGGTTTTGTTTTTATAAAATTATTATTATCATCATGATCATCATTATTATTATTGTGTGATGTGTGTTTGCACATTTATGTTAAGCCATAGTGTGTGTGTGTGTGTGTGTGTGTGTGTGTGTGGTGTGCAGGGATACAGGGATAATAAGCTTTACAGGTGTGAGCTGAAGCAGTCAGTTGTCTCCTTCCACTCGTGAGTCCCAGAGAACAAATGCAGGTCATCAGGCTTGCATCATAAGCATTTTTACTCTCTGAGACATTTGCTGGCCCCACTAAATGGTTTTGACATTTCTGAGCCTTGCCATCCACAGCCACATGACAAAGTCACATTTGCTACTGTGAGGTCAGCAGCTCCCGTGTTCTCAGCATCTCCATAAACTATTATACTGAAATTTCTATTCTCTCCTGGCTAGCCATTGACCATTCAGCTCTTTATTAAACCAATCACAGTGGCACATCTTCACACAGTGTAAACAAACATTCTGCAACAGTGGTATTCCCTTTAAGACCCAGAGTCAGTGTGGGCAATACCTGCAGGGACTAGATTCTTCACTTTCCAGACAACCTGCTGCAGGCTTGTGTCTAGAGCCCAGACTGTGAGACCTTCTGACTCTGTAAGGTATCACAGCCCCCTCCAGACACTCCCTGTGCCTCATTCCCCAGCCCGATGCCCATCAATCACTCATCATCACTATCCGATCTTTTTTTTTTTTTTTTTTTTTTTAACCCCCCCCACCCCTCTGCTTCCAGGCTGTCAGGCTGTCTGGCCATCTTCAGCTCCTCCCTGCTGGGTCTCCCGAATGCTGTTCCACTCCATTATATTCCCACACAGTCACTGATTTTATTTTTAGATGAATTTCTGTGCACCACAGCTACTTTTAAGACCTTCATCTTTATATGAGAGTACAGGTGAACTTGACCTCCCCTCTATAGGGCTGTCCTGTGGGATGTTATTCTAGAGCCCTGAATGTGGGTGTTAGCAGATCTGAGTTCTAGGCATGGACTTTTCCAGTAAATAACTGATCCCAAATAAGTCATTCCTATATTTAGTTCATGTTTCTCCGTGCAGCCAGTGGAGGGCAATCAGGTAGACACTCCTGAAATAACTTGAGTATGTGCAAGTACTTTATAGGTCTAGTTGCATGTCCTCTCTCCAGTCACCTCCAAAGACAGCCTGCCCACCTTCCCAAGAAAAACGGCCTTGGTTCATGTTGACACCACTTACAGAGCCCATCCTTGGGACGGTCTGGTTTACATGGTTCTATAGTGAGGCTCCCTGGGTGACTATAATGAGCAGGCAACATTGAGAAGCTCTCCCATCATGATGAAGAGAGGAGCCCGAGGAACATCCATTCCTCCCCCTCCTTGGAGACTCGGGCTTGGTCCCTTCTGTAGATGTCTCCACAGTTACAATGTGCCAGAGCCCCAGGGACATGAACTGTCTACCTCTATGGCCAGACTTTCAGCTGGGTCATGGCCTTCCTGTTTTTTTAGCACAGCTGACTTTTCTTGAACAGCTTGGCCAGGAAACTCAGCCAATCAAATTTTTACAGATGTTTCATTCTTTTTAATGAAGACCAGATCCCTCTCTGTAATGGGATACAGAGTCTGCTGGACATGTCCCCTTAAGGCCCTGGAAGAGCATCAGTACTCTACACATGTCCAAATAAGCACCTTGTAACCTGTCCTGCCTTCATTAACATGCCTACCTGCTCCTTCTCTTGACCACCCATCTCAACAAGTGATGTCACCCTTTTCCAGTCACCCAGACTGAAAATAAGATCATGCAGCCAATGTGCAGAAAGTTAGTTCTGGGTTCAAATCCAAATGGATTTTCTTTCCCATGCCCCAGTTCCCTCGGTGGAGAACAGCGACGACAACCTCCTATGGCTTGTTTGAATCTAATGAGTCAGAACAGAAAACTGGCTCCAGGTCAATGCTCCCAGGCTTCGAGGCAGCCCTCAGTATGCCCTCTCACCCAGCTCCTGAATTCAGACAAGATGCCGGCTCCATCCATGGAGTGCCGAGAGGTCTTCTTCACCATCTCCACCCAGAACTTACACACTCTCCTCAGATTTCTAATGTCTGAATGTCCCAGATCTCTTTTCATGGATTTTTATCATCATGTGTGCACCTGTTTATGTGGGAGGTGGACATGTGTATATAGGTGGTGGTGATGGTGGTGGTGGTGGTGGTGGTGGTGGTGTGTGTGTGTGTGTGGTGTGTGGTCTAGAGAAAACTTCATGCTATTTCTCGGGCCTGGCACTCATCAAGTAAGTGAGGCTGGCTGGACAATGAACCCCAGGGATCAACCTGCCTCTACATCCCCAATGTTGGTATTATAAGCATGCACCACAATGTCTGGATTTTTATTTTATTTTCATATAAATTCTGAGGATTGAACTCAGGTCCTCGTGACTACCAGGCAAGCACTTTGCTGACTGGGCTGTTTTCCCAACTCTGTGTCTCCAGAATTCTTGGCTGCTATCACTCTTGCATGCTATCACCAAATTCATCTTACTAAAATACAATTATGATTGCTTAACTTCTCTATTTTTTTAAGCTGCCTGTTTTTTACGTACATGTTTTAGAGGGCATTTTGCTTTGTTTTTTTAGAAAAAGGCCAAGCTAGCTAGCCACCAGCGCCACCAATGCCCTGCCATGCTGCTGTCTTGTGGGGAAGACTCTGGACATTACTTGGTGGATCCACATCCTGTCAGAACCCAGGGTGACATCGTCCTGAGCTGCCACATGGGCTTTGTATCCCAAAACATGTCCCTGTCTGTGTCTCATTTGCTGATGCACCACCCCAGGGTGTGGCTAGCTTGAAAGCAGCTCTGCTTGGCTTCTACCACACGAGACTGAAGCATGCCAGCAAGTCCTCTTAGGGGATGAATTGTTCATCCAGTATTTTTACTTCTTTCCTATAAATCATAAAGTAGTTTTTTTTTTTTTTTCTTGGTAGCCTGGATCCTTATTTCTTGTAAAACACTGCCCAGAAAGGAACATTAAAGCTCTGAGGCAGGAAGGGATGGAGGCCATGGGAATGTCAGCTTATTCTCAACAAAGGTGTAGATCCTGGTGCAGATCCTGGTGCGTACCACCCTCAGAAAAATAATCTGAAGACTTCAGCCTTCCTCATTCTTCCTCACAGTGTGCACCCCTAATAGCCCTCTGTGACTTGGTGAGGTGGGAGTTGGTGGGAGTCATGACGGACACTAAGAATGCTAGAATGAGTGTACTGGTTGGGGCATGCAGTGTGTGTCTAAAAAGCCCTGTGTGCGCTAGTGATTGCCACTCAAACCAGTCTCTAGTTTATCTGCTGTTTGCATACCACCCCTGAGACGGAGCCAGCTGTAAGACAAGCAGAAGCAGGGCCAGTGTCATGTGATCTGTCCTCATTTACTCTCTGTGGCTGTCATAAGGTTCCAGGACCAAAAGCAACTTGAGGAGGAAAACGTTTATTGGCTGTGTCCCAAT